GCTTTACATCAGAATCTGATACTTATTTCAGTCCATGCATGGCCTGCCCATTATTTTATTTATCACTTCTGTCCATGCTTCTTTCTCACACTGCACACTTGTCTCAGTCACAGTTTTGGTAAGCCCACAAGCTAACACTAGCAAAAATGAGTAAAAAACAGATGTCGCTGGAGAGCTTCTGTGAAAAGGGGCAAAGACCCAATGATGAGACAGCAGAAGACTCTAAGACTGACAACAAAATGAAAGATTCCTTTTAAAGAAAATACCAAGAGTCCTGCTTAAATTACAGGTTCATTGCAACAGGTGATTCACATTCTCCAAGCCCGCTTTGTATAATATGTGGCAACTGGCTATTCAGCAAAGCTAGGAAACCTTCAAACCTGGTTCCCACATGAAGACTAACACCATGCATTAAAAGATAAGCCTTTGGAGTTTTTCAAAAGAAAAAAAAAAGTGAACTTGAAGAACAGAAGCAATTATTAATTATTGAAGACCACCACTTCATCAAATGTGTCTGCATTAAGAACATCATTCCTACGGGCTAACCAAATTGCTAAAGCTAAGAAGCTCTTTGCTATTAGTGAAGAGTTAATCCTGACTGCTGCTAAGGACATTTGCCATAAACTTTTAGGAGAGGCTGTTGTTCTAAAGGTGGCACATGTTCCTCTTTCAGCTAGTACCATAGCTAGATGAACTGATGAAATTACAGAGGATATTGAGGCACAATTGTTAGAATTAATGAGTCACCTTTGTATGGAATCCAGGTTGACAAGTCTACCAATTGCAACAGCGTTTGTATTTATGCAATATATTTTTCAGGAGGATATACATGAGGATGTATTATGTGCACTTTTGTTACCAATCAACACCCCAGCTTCAGAACTATTCAAGTCTTTGAATGATTACATATCAGGAAAACTAAATAGGTCATTTTGTGTCGGTATATGCACAGACAGAGCGTCTGCTATGAGTGGACAGCTTTTTGGTTTCACTACTCAGGTCAAGGAGGTCACTTTTGAATGTGAGTCTACGCACTGTTCAGAAATGCTTGCTAGCTAAAAAATGTCACCTGAGCTAAATGACATTTTGCAGGATGTGATTAAAATTATCTACCACAATTAAGTACATGCCCTTAACTCATTGTCTGTTCAGGCACTCTGTGAGGAGATGGACACAGAGCACACATGTCTTTTCTTATACAGAGAAGTGAGATGGGCTTTCTAAAGGTAGTTCACTGGCCAGATTTTTTGAGTTATGAAAGGTGCTCCAGAGATTTCTTTTAGGAGAACAGTCACCACTGGCAGCACATTTCAGTGACACAGAATGGGTCACAAAACTTGCTTACTTGTGTGACATCTTCAACATGCTCAACGAACTCAGACTGTCAGTTCAGGGGAGAATGGCAACTGTGTTCAAGTCAGCAGATAAAGTGGCTGCATTCAAAGCCAAACTGGAATTAGGGGAGTGACAAGTAAACATTAGGATTTTTGACATGTTTCAAAGAATAGCAGAGGTTTTGAAAAAGGCTGAGCCAGGGCTTTTTTTTTTCTCCTAATTGGTGCATGATCACCTATCTCACTTTCAAACGAGTTTGAGCATTACTTCCCAACCACAAAAGACCCCTGAACTGTGAAGGAATGGATTGGCAATCTATTTGTGAATAAGCCAGGTGAATTGACTTTGTCCATGCTAGAAGAGGATCAACTGCTTGAGATTGAAAATTACAGTGGCCTTAAAACTATGTTTGAGACAACTTCAAATCTCCACACATTCTGGATTAAAGTCAAGGCACAATATCTATCCTGAGATTGCCACAAAAGCGCTGAAAAGCCTGCTTCCATTTCCAACATCCTGTCTTTGTGAAGGATTTTCTGTGGGGATAGCAACCAAAATGAGATTATGGAGTAGGCTGGACATAAGCAACACATTTCAGGTATCACTGTCTCCCATCACCCCCAGATGAGACTGTCTAGTTGCAGGAAAACAAGCTCAGGGCTCCCACTGAATCTGCATTATGAAGCAAAAATACGAGTTGCATAATTATTTCATTATATATTACAATGTAATAATAGAAATAAATTTTCAATGAATGTAATGCACTTGAATCATCCTGAAACCATCCCCCTTGTCTTCCATGAAATTGATATCTGGTGCCAAAAAGGTCAAGGACAGCTGATACATGTGTAATAACAGAGATACAATGAAAAATAGCTAATAGTTATTGAACACTGAGTTTACACCAAGCACTGCTTTAAAATGTTTTGGTATATATCTTTATAATCCTTACAAAAGCCATGTGAAACTGATAACTCTATTTCCATATTTTGTATATGAATAGAAGGCACAGATAGGTAAGAAATGTGCCCAGGCTTTCACAACAAATACATAACGAGGCAAAGGCTGTAATCTGACAGTCTGACTTCAGAATCCATGCAATTAAACATTAAAATGTACAGTGTAAAAGTACACTCCTCAGGCAGGATTAATACAGTGAGGGCTTTGATTTATTATGCTGCAATTGTGCTTCTCAGAGTAGTTGTGTTTCCATGAATAAATAGAAGATTACAAAGTGGATAGGGGAATAAATATTTTAGACAAGACATACGCAAAGACATGGCATATTTGGGGAATTATATAGTTTGCTATTCCTCACTTGTAATGAGTGAGGAGGAAAGGCTGGAAGGGCATGTTGGAGAGAACAGTATAGTCACTTCGCAGAGTCCTTTCTATGCCATTCTCATAATGAATACCACATTCTGAGTCACTAGTATTTTCCACTTCAGAGATACCAATGATGCTACGCTCTATATTCCTAACCCCCATGCTGCTCCAATTTAGAGTCTGATCAAGGCAAAGGAGAATGTAAGAGCAACTCCAAAAAGGAATTACTGCAATTCACAGAGTCTCACCACAGCCCATTTGCTGTATATGATTTTATATGTTCCATGAAAATGTTCACATTTCAGAGCATTTAAAACAAATGAGACATTTATTAGTGTAACCTTTATTCTGGAGATGATTTAAGCCATTTCAAAAGTAACTAAATGAGGAACACCGTTTCCCATACACTGGAGTCATCCCCATGTCCCCACCAGCCCAGAAAATGCTTCAGTAACTTTAATGCTCTGTACATCTTCCGAAATATCTACATAAATAATCTATTGTTCTAAAGGTCACAAAGGTAGAGGATCACTTTGAAGTGGAAGGTAAGTAAATGAATGGGTAATATGGTGCCATAAGTTTGAATATTTCCGTTACCTCTTTATCTTTATATACAGGTGGGCATTAAAGGACATGATGTAGTGACCTGCACATGCAAGTTTCTGGGTACTGCAAGGGACAGAAGAATGACTAAAAGTGTGTAGGCTATAATATGCCCTAACCACTTCTCCTTAGGACAAAAACTATGAAGTGTCTAGCAAACATGGCATTTTGCTGGCTTTCTTTGTCTCTGCTTAAATGGGAGGAAACCTCATTAAAACACCAAGTCTCAAAGACATAGCTCAGCCACAGACCTATTTCAAGTTAAAGGCCATCCTGTGAACATGGCCTTAAGAGTTCACTTGCAACTTTCAAACATCCTATAAATTTGCAGTTAATAGGAAGGTTGATAAATTCTCTCTCACTTTAACTGCTGTTCAGAGCTGTCATCTTTCTTGATAGATGTCACAGCTTAAAGAAGAGATTTCTAAGACATTAAATAGTACCACAGGGTTGAACCTCCCAAATTATTTTACATATTACCTGGGGTAACTTAAAGTCTCCTAAACACATGGAACATTAGAATTGAACAGACAGTAGAGACCTCATAGCCAGATATGGGCAACAAGCCTTTCATTTTACAGGGTGGTGAGGCAGGAAGGGATGAGGTACATAATAAAGGACTCAGAAACGGGATTGGAACTGCAATCTCTTCCTGGAGGTTCTGTCTTCTTTCCAAGATTACAGGGAGGCCAACTCTCCCACTTTGCAAATTAACAACTTTTTATATGTGGGCTGGAGACCAGAAGGCTAAATGACCTCAATTACAGCCTATAGTTGTAAATAAATAAATTTTTTAACACTGAAAGGCTCCCTACAGCACCATCTGTCAGAACTGAGCTATGTCCAGCTACAGAACTGTAAGGACAAGTTTTATTGCCACCATAGAATGCTTTATCAAGTCCTGGTGAATTCACAGCTCATTTCTCAAGCAGGTACTAATCTTTCTCACTAGGACTTTGATCAAAATATTTTATCTGACACTGGTTGTATTTAGCACACATTTCTCCAGTTAGAAGAAGATAATCAAGGGTGATTACAGCATACTTGATCATTTTTCACGGTCAGCCTTTACTGCCTTCAAATCAAACAAATTTTATAGTGACTCTTGCTCATGAGCTTGCTGCTCAGATTCAATGAAAAATAGCAGGTTTCAAGCCAGAAGCACCTACTATGTGTCAAACAAAGAGTTAGCTCCTTTTCTTTGGTGTAGATAATAATAGCCCCATTACTCAGAGGGAGAAGGGAAATTTGATACCTTGTTGAAGATATTTCACAGGTAATACATAGGTGGTATGTGGTAGGTTAAACTCACATTTGAACTTATGACTATGAGACCCATGAATGGAAAGTTACAGCTTAGCTAAAGAAGTGTCTCAATTTTAAAAAGCAGATCAAATAGTGCCTAAAAATAGAGCTAACACCTTTCTAGTTTAGCGTATTTATAAAATGTGCAGAAGAAAATAAGGACTTTAAATGTATATGGAGGTGCGAAACATAATGATAATGTGAAATTGTGAATGGTTTACAGTCTTACAATAAAAGCTTTATTTTTCATTTTCTAATGGGGACATCAATAGGAAAAAAAATAAAAAACAGGTCACACATGTATTTCTGGTGGGTCAATTGTGCTTGTGGAGAAAATGAGATCATGGTGCTCTTTGGGTAGAAACCCTTCACAGGATTCCCAAACAATGAGAATGGAATCTGGGTCCTCATCCAGATAAACATGTACTTACCTTTCCCTCCAATTTCGTGTCTTCCCACACTTGCTCTCACCTGATCCACACTAGGCTGCTACCTCTGAAACACACCAACATTTTCCAGCTTCAATATCATTGCCTAGAAAGCTCTTCTTCCAGAAATCTCCAAGTCTCACACCTTCACGTCCCTTGAGTTTACCCTTAAATAGCACCTACTCAGGGAATAGTTTCCTGGTGCCTTGCCTTTTCACTTTCTACCCCCTTACCCTGATTTATTTTTTATTACAAGCAATTCATTTGTATTATTTTATCCTATCTGCTTCTCTCAGTAAACCACAAGCTTGATGAAGGCAAAGGCTTTGAGTGATTTGTTCTCTGTTGTATCCTTGGCACATGGAAGGCTCTCAATAAGTGGTTGCTAAATTAAGAAAAGAGCTATTCTTGCCAATTCAAAGTTTCAAGTATGTCAAGGCGACATCCTCCAAGTAACATCACTGAGAGTTAAACCTGGGCAATTTACTTGTAGGCCCTTGTAAACTCTCGAAGACTACTGATTATTGCCATTTTCATGGCAATAAAGCATAGACAAAGAAATAGTAGGGAAAAACATCTTTACTGAGCCTTGATTAGACTAATACTGCCCTAGAATCTAAATTTTATAATTCAGGGTTTGTGAACTCCTTGTGATAAAGGTATTGCTAGCTCTACTTATGAAGACTCTGAGGCTCAGAGAAGTTACATAAATTACTTAAGGTCACTCCTTGGTAAATAATGTGATTTGAATTCAAAACTATTTTAAGTAGTGCCCTTATGTCTTCCTCCTTATACAGTAATGATTGTCTGAAGAGCAGTGATAACAAGAATAAGTAATATTATGCTTCATTATTACAAAACTACTTTGAATTGAGGTCATTGGTCACCTTCCCCAATTCATGTGCTATGGAAACTGAAATATATATAAAAAAAAAAAAACCTACACACTAACATCAAACAACAGTATACATCATATACATAATAAAAACATAATCAACACAGCTGCCCTGATGATATTTTGATCAAAAAAATTTTTGCATGAAGCTCTTTTGGGCTATGCCCAACAAGCCACTTCCATTTCCCAGCTAATCAAAAGGGAAGATTGGAAGACCAGACCTTTGAAAAAAGGCTTAGCAATATCCATTATTTTTCCATATAAAATACTAAATCCTTCCTTTCAGTTTCTTGACAACTTCTTATTTGGAAATCCTTCTCACCCTCAAATACTTCGTAATTTATTTGTTTAGCCATTAATTCAAAAATACTGATTGTGATTCTTATTCCATGCCATGCACTGTAGTAGCTAGAAAAACATGTTCAGATTCTCTATACCTCAGGAGCCTGTATTATGGTTTGGTAAAAAAATCTAAGCAAGCAAATAAACAATTATCTAATTTTAACTTTCACTGAACACTGTGAAGCCCTCAACAGATGTTATAATAGAGGATGATGGGAAAGGGACACTCCTTGAACAAGTAAAGATGCTTTGGGTGGGCAAAGCTTACACCAAGGACAGAAGCGCAAGAAAGAGCCAGTCGTAAAGATGCCATAGAGAAGAGACTTTCACACTGAAGAAGCAGTAAGTAGGTAGGGACATTAGCCAGCTCAGCAGGTGTGAAGACTTGAATGGAAATTGAATGGCTGAAGTAACATGGGTGAATGAAAGAGTAGAATGTGGAGAGATTTGAGATTTCGCTGGGATCAGACTATATAGTCATATAAAACTTTGAGTTTTATTTGAAATGTAATTAGGCTTTAATGTTGACCCCAGATGAGATTTTAAGCAACGAAGTAATAGAGTATGAATTATACATTTTAAATGTTCACTATGTCTCCTGTGCAGAGAGCAGGTTTGTGTGGAGTAACAAAATAAGCCATGAGTCAACAAAGTGGCCATTGTGGCAGAGAAGAAATGGAGATAACTGGACTCCAAGCCCACCAGCTTAACATCTCAGACTGATGGGCTCCAACATGCCTGACAGACCTTAATTTTTTTTTTTTTTTCCAGAGTGGGTCATACTGGTTACTTTCGCTTCTTGGACATGGGTTGAATTTGTGAACAATGAGATGTCATATTGCCAAGGAGAGAAACATACTGATTTTTCTTATGGTGCTAGTCACAGAGAATAAAGGAAAAATGAGTAGATTTTCAAATTTGCTAAAAATGACAATAATAATAGCAAAAATAATCTGAACGGTTGGAGAAAATGAAGAGCTGCTTCCCACCATACCCATCCCTTCTTCTTTCTGCCATTCCATTTTGCAATAGATTCATGCAGCAGTATCTACAGAGCTAATGATTTTCCCAAAAAAGCATACGAATATGGATGTGGAAAAGAAAAAGATTTCCTAAATAATTCTAACAAAGGGAACAGAGAGAATATTTGCATTTATAGATTAATTTCTATTTACCTGACATGATGAAAAGCATTTTATATGTGTTTTCTTTATGTGTTTGTGGCCCTATATTTCAGATGAAGAAATAGATAATTCTCCCAATGTCCCCAAGTCATAAAATGGGAGATCAAAGGTACAGTCTTACCTTCAAGACAAGAAATATTAAGCCTTTATTGCCTCACTACCTAGTTTCCCACTTGAAAAAATAAATAAATAAAAGTGTGCACAAAATGTTTTGGCTTTCTAAGATTTCATAATCATTGACATTGTTCATAATTTTAGAAAACGATAAAGGGTAATAGCTCTATAAGACAATTTCAAGGTATTGTCTTAATTCATACATTTATATCTCCTCTAGACTTCCCACTTAGATCAAAGACAAGTTGTTATTATTTTATTACTTTTAGTGTTATCTCAGTGTTTTAAATTGTGAGCACCTAAATTTCCTTCTTTCTCTCCATATATTTGAGTTGGGACAGTAGTGTTTAGTGGAGATTGGCCTGGGAAAGACCAGCAGGAGAGTGGAGACCTGAGAACAGGAAGAAAGAAAACTAATAAAGTTTGCATTATTAACCAGGATACCATTGTGGGCAACTGGAGCTCAGGCAAAACTTGCTGGGGAACTTTGGGAACCAGTGTAGAATGTCAGCGCTATTCTACCCAAGGGGGAAGGAGGCTAGAGTACTTATACATCCATTCCCATCAATCATTTGGTTGACGGTTGCCCGTGGAGTGGTGAGGAGCATTAATTCCGTCGAATTTCTATCCTTCCATGCACACTGAGAGAACTGATTCCAACGACAAGAGATGCTGACAAAAAGAGGCAGATGCTTATAGCAGGAAGACAAGCAGGTGTGTACTTGGGCACATAAGGGCAAAGGATTAACTCTAAAATGTTAGCACTATTGTTTCTTGATGGTGGAATAATGGACAATTAATACATATATTCTTTTTATTTATCCATGTTCTCTAAATATTTTACATTAAGATGCACTACATATGAAAAGAAGATAAAACTAGATAGCTGAGAGATATATTTTCCCAAAAATTGAGCACCATTCTTTAGGTACCAGAATATTCAGAATAGATATTTATATACTGTTTTTTTTTTTAATTGTCTTTTACAAACTCCCTTGCTGAAAATCTAATGTCATTTTAATTTATTTCCTTTTCTTGAGTTCTTCTGTTTTAGAAGGTCCATATAAATGTTGGTAGGCTGTTTTATTTCATTATCATTATTATCATTATTATCATTTTTCAGTTCACCATTTTAAACCAGAGGACATACACACTGAGCTGAGACCCTAATTTATACCATTGCTGTAGGACATCTCAACTGATCTCTGCATTGTAAAATGGTGGTGGTGGCTGAAGGGAGTCCTGCAGAGGGGAAACAAAGTTTCTGTCCTTTTTGAAAATTTCTACCTGTAAATAACAGTAATTTCTGTGGGCCAATGTAACTATTGCTCACACATGAATGTGCTGGTGTAATTTGGAAACAATTTTAATCTAATCAGAAGAAAGCAGAAAGTTGCCATTATTGCACATTTTCACAAATTATCCGATGTTGGATATGTTACTGATTTTGATCTAATTTCATGCCAAACAATCATACTAATATATGCCTTTATTCTTTAATTGTTGTTAGAATATGTCATACTTAAGGGGTGAGAAGTTTCAAGGGAAGAATGGTCTTTTATATTAGATTACATCATGACAGATACTTTATGGTAAAACATAGGAAAATTATTGAAAAATGTTTGAAGCTGTTTCTTTTCTCATTTTATTCCAAATAAGTGATATTATTATTTTTTGTGATTTTTTTTTTGAGACAGAATCTCACTCTGTTGCCCAAGCTACAGTGAGTGCTATGGCGTCAGCCTAGCTCACAGCAACCTCAAAATCCTGGGCTCAAGCAACCCTACTGCCTCAGCCTCCCGAGTAGCTGGGACTACAGGCATGCGCCACCATGCCCTGCTAATTTTTTCTATATATACTAGTTGGCCAATTAATTTCTTTCTATTTATAGTAGAAACGGGGTCTCACTCTTGCTCAGGCTGGTTTTGAACTCCTGACCTTGACCAATCCACCCGCCTCAGCCTCCCAGAGTGCTAGGATTACAGGCGTGAGCCAACACACCCGGCCGATATTATTTTATTACCCCAAATATTCTATTCCCATAATCCTTATCTTCTATCTATCTACCTGTCATATATACTTACCATCTATCTGTCTGACATAAAGAAAGCTTAAAATCAATTACTCAAGTTTTTACTTTAAATTAAGAAGATTTAACTAAAACCCATGAAAGTAACAAAGCAGAAATATGAAAAAGCATAGAATAAAATCTATGAAATACAATACAACAATAATAAATTAAATTATGAATAGCTATCTAGTCTGAACCAGACAAATAGCTAAAGATGGTACAAGAGTGAGAACAAGAAAACAAGCAGCCACGCAAGAGAGAGAATATGTAAACACCCTATCAGTATTGGGAATTGAAGAAGAAATGGCAGTGCAAATTCTACTCACATTGAAAGGACAACAGGTAATATTTGAAATTAAATTAGATAACTTAGGTGAAATATACAAATTTCTCAAAAGTCATAACTTAGACCCACCCAACTAAAAAGAAAAAACAGAAATGGTGAATTTGAAGACCTCTGT